GAAAACAAAAAAAAAAAAAAAAAAAAAAACTTCGAAGAGCGATCTACTCCAAGTTTTGAAGCAAGAGTGGGCGAAAATCCCACAATCTAAAATTGACGAGATGATTCTCACGATGCCCAAATGGATCAACGAACTCCACGAAGCAAAAGGAAGATCTACTAGATATTGATTAAATTATAAATATATCAATTCATGTGAATATGACTGAAAAATGTCATTTTTTTTTCTGAAAAGGTGGTGTCTATTTACTTGTGATCACGCTGTGTATATTACTTTAGCAGGTTACTTTCTTTCAAAAATATTTAGGTATAAATAAATTTAAATAAAAAATACCCACCACTTACGATAGTTGGTTGAATAACTAAATCGTCAGTTTTGAACAAGAACTGCAAAAATTGAAAATAACTAGATTTGTTAACTCGAGTAATATTACGATTTAAGTAACACGTTGTGTACATAACCGTACCTAAATCTTTTTTCTGCTCGCCAAAACGTTTTGCACGCTCCTTTATTCTTGACTTTAGACTTGAGGTAGGAAGCCCTTACAAACCCTAAGTATATCAGAAAGTTAGAGTGAATTAGAGAATAGACAAGTACCTTTTACTGTGATAAAGATAGGGTAGTTTTAGCTTATTTAGTATTTTAAGAAAATATCACTTTTATGAACAATTCAGTAAGAGCAAAGCGAATGTACTTTTCCAAACAACACAGTTTAAAATAACAAAATAATGTTTATCAAAAATCAGTTTTGTATAATTACTTCATATAAAACGTAAAACAGTAACTTTACCTAGAATTAATATACTTACTGACTTGTTTGATATTATGATCATGGCTATGTTAATTTAATCGAATGAGATTGTGGGACTTTTCAATGATTTTTTAGCTTTTATTTTCTTGTATACGTTAGGGTGGTGGTTGACTAAGAAACTGGAAGTTAAGCGCTATTTATAAGAACGATATTTCGCGATGCCCTTGAAGCTGCTTCTTCTATCGTCAGTCTCATGATTACTCACACATATCTGATACTCTAATTTCCACTGTAACAAGTTTCTCCAAAAGAAGGCGCGCTTAATCTTAGCCCAACGTTTCATAGATCCCTCCCACTGCACGAACCTTTAGCTTCTGATATCGCGTATAAATATATCAAAGGCAAAATCTTATTGAAGTTGCATCGGAGGACTTGACAGATATGTGGTTGAATGGAACTGTTCTAATTCCAGTTCATTTAGTTCTTTTTTCTATGATATAGCCGTTGATTTTGAAGTAAGGTTGTAAGCTTGTAAGTTTATATTTTGTGAACCTCCGTCAACTTCAAATCCTTGTTTATTATCTTATTAAGATACCAGAAGATGTGCCAGCTTTATCATAATGGATCATTGGGTCAAATGGTTCTCTTTCGCAAGCACCAAACATTTGGAAAAGGAGAACTTTCTGTGTTTTTCATGGAAATGGAAAATTCACACATAATAATATTTAGGGCAGAAAAGGGTTCTGAAGTTACACCTCGTGTCAATCGGGAGCAACACTTCCATTCATAAAGTGAGGGCTATGGCACTGCAATGCCAAACAGTCGCTCTAAACCACATGTAAGTGCTCAACATGTCACCCGTAATGCTCCAGTTCGCAATTGCTAAGATATATCTCTATGTTAGCATAAGCAACCCATTCTTTTAAAGTGCAATTATCCAACTTTGCGACGTTAAAAAATGATACACACTAAAGTAACTCAAACATGTTTTCACCAAGTCTGCCATTTTTGCAAGCGAGATACTATATATATTCTTGTAGGTCTCCTCACAGCAAGTTTAACAATAAACAATCAAGAACGGGCATTTTGCGTAATTAGTTCATCTAATCAAAAATTTACTGTATTAAACAAGAATATCAATGTTGCCACTCATGCTATTTTACTAAAATGTAAAATATCTAATTAAGGATAAATTTAGCATTTTTTCCGTGTCAGGAACTAACTTTTCACAGGAGAGGTCAATGACTATTATTCTAAATACATAACTGTGTACAGCTCAGCTAATGTCACGTTGTGTTGTTTCACAACAAAAAGAAAAAAACTTCCTGCATTATTTTGTTTTATTATCGTGATCTTAAAGCTACCGATACATTTCTTGCTTGTTTTTAAGCATAAAACTACACACTGAGCTACCTTACTTCTGTCCATGGGTATCGAACTATCATTCTTAGCATTATGAGCTCTCAAGCCTATCGCTGAGCTGCAGGGTAGCCCTTGGCTACCAAAACTGAATGACTTCAAATGATAAAGTTGGGGTTCCTAGCCACCAAAACCGGATGATTTTATTTAGAGACCATCTCGAAGAATTAAATGCAGGTGTTGTAAGCCTTAAATAATGTTTAAAGTACGACACATGGAGAAATATGTGAAACAAAACGAATACTAACTTTTAACGCTTTGGCCTCTTTCCGCAAAAACTCAGGGAGAAACAAAAAGGACACCAAGAATCAGCTAAAGTGGAGATACCCAGGTAAACTGGTAAAATAATACTCTTAACTTGATCGACAACCATGAAACTTTTCTGGTAATAAGAAGTATTATTCCATGGTTTCCAAACTTTAAAATTTAGTTTAGACATAAGATATTTCACTTATCAAACTCATTAAAAAGTAATGTCGTATAAGACGAAAGCTTCCAATAAAGAGAAATCTAAAGGGAATACATGTGGAATACTTTTTAAAACGTTAAAACATGTAGAAAAAAGGTCGCGAGGTTATTAATGAGATAGTTGTGGATCAGTAAATCTCAAACAAGTTATAAACATGCCCAAGTGGCTATCGATAACGCAGATGTTATTTTGAAAATACGACGAGTCCTACAAGAAGACTGAAAAACCTAAAATAAAACTAAAAAAAAAAGAAAGACGACATATTTCGTCAAGCAAATGATTTCAACCAAACTAGAGAGGTTTACAAATTTGTAATACTTAACAGATGTTTTTTTTTATTGTTGCATAAAATTAAACTAATTTTGAATTGATAGATTTCATGGAAGGCAAGTAATCAACGGTACTCACCACCAACTCTTGTCTGACCGAATGAGCGCACCCATGGCCACAAAAGCATAGCACACTTGTGCAGCTATGAGACACGACTCGTGAGCCCTCGAATTCAAAGTACGTTAAGCATTAAGACACGCTTTCCTGAAGTTTAACATTAGTGGTTGAATGACTTATTATAAAAGAAAAAAACGTAGTTAGAAATAAAAATTGGAGATTATTACGAAATCATTGACCTCCCCTTTTGTAATTTCTTTATGAGACTGATGTAATTGATATATTATATACGCTACAGTTCTATGCGCTTTACCCCTCACAATCACACTTTCTCGTCATGGAAGGCAAGCTCCCAGTTCTGTACCTTTTAGTTTACCCGTCTTTGTGGGGGCTTGAGAGGACAAAAGACGTTGTGCAAAAACCAGGAAAGAACATGCAAAAGAAGAGAAAAGGGAGAATATTAGTTAACAAAGATCAGAATAACAAAAGCAAGATATAAAAAAAAACAACCCAGAATGTTGACTTCACTTTTCACACGACCTTCGTGCACATAATAAATACTTATTGAAATACATTCTGATTCGCAAATGAAAATGTCATTTTAAATACAAAAAATTATTTGTTTATATACTAAACGAAGCTCAGAAACTATACGTATAACTTGAGAATAAGCTGACAAAAAGAAAAAAAAAATGCTTTTTGAGATTAAGGAAATGATAAACAGTTTAAAGAGATTAATATCCAAATTACAAGTTAGTTATGTCAAAAATAAACAGAAATGGAATATCAATTATCCCAAAAATTTTCAACGTTACAACTTTTTAACATCTATCTATTTTTTAGCAATATTTCTGGACGTTACCATCCGCATCTATCTCTTCTTCTTCGTCATCTGTACTTTTACTGTGCATACTTTTTAGCTTCTTTCGTTTGGCTGCTGCTCGCCCTCGTGCTGAGGAAGATGAACATATTGAAATACAAAATGAGCCTTTAACATCATGAAGACAATATTAAAAAACGACTAAGAATATAATAAAATTCACGAGTCAAATATTTTTTATCTTAATTTCCCACCTTCAATAATATGCAACTTCTCTTCTTCTGTAGTCCTTTCTTCCGCTAGGATAACTTCCTCTGTAAGAACGAGCAAATTGAACCACGTGTCGTTTAAAAAAATAATCTTAAATGGCTTGGCAGAAGTTTGAATAACAATCTAAAATTCATAAACAAACCCAGCTATGCGATTTTAAAAATATTAGACTATATTCGCAAATGTTCACTTATTTGTTCTTCTTATTGTTTTAAAGAAAATATCAACATAAATAGATTACTATATATACCAATTCGTTCAGAGCTAAGCCTAAAACTACAAGTTAACAAAAGTGAAAAGTAATATTTAACATTTACTTCTCCAAGTAAGATTGCATGAAACTTACCGTGTTGTTAAATCGCGTAAAACGTTTAGTGTTTAGCAAAATTGAAGGAAGTTGACCGAAGTTACCATAACTCATCGTGAGATGATCTTAAGTCAGAGTGAATGTAAATATTTCGATTTAGAACTTTTAGAAAACGCTTAATGAATTTGCTGTGAACAAGACCTAAGCACTGATTCTGGATTATTATTATAGTAACGTACAGATCCAAACAGCTGTCCTTTTTCTCTACAGTAAGTCTTGACTGTCAAATGTATGCACAAACATGGCCCTATTTAGAATATTACTTGTCAGTTTAATATTCCCCCATTTTTGGTTACTTGGAATTAAAATAGTGACTATTATATAACCAGGTGTTTCTTTACAGATGTTTAACTGCTAGTTTTCTGAAGAGTTAAAGAAGAAAGACCCTGTGAGAAAATAATTCACACTTGACTCTCTCTTTTTTTTTTATCTCTCTTCTTAGTGGGTATTTTCAACCTGAACGGCACGTTATGCGCACATAGATTAAACGATCCCTAGAATTCGGGTATATAACCCACCCTGATATTGAAACTGCTGGCCAGAGGAAAAGTAGCCAGTCAGCATCACTCACCATCACAAGGGCTTTTTACAGATTTAAGCAGACCAACGAGTTTGATTTCACTCTTATAACGCATTCGTAGAAAATCAAGAATGTGTTCAGTGACATTGCCAACTATCATATATCAGTCAACTACACAAGGAATATCTGCACTAGTTGTCCCTAATTTTTAACTGATAGACTAGAGGGAAGGTATCTAATTATTAACACTCATCGTCAACTCTTGGGCTACTCTAATCAAACAGTGAGATGTAACCGTCACTTTTATAACGCGCCCAAGTGTGAAGTGTGTTTTTCTTCGACAATTAGACGCGAGCCATGGACACTTAGATCCATAGTCTGACACGTTAATCACCTTATGTCAATGAAAACTGGGCAATGATCATACTGCAAGAATGCTACTTTTTACACGCTCGACTTGCCGACTAGTATTACCGCTCGTTAATGGTGGGTGCATGCTTTATCTAAGGGGGGGGGAGGAAACATACTAAAGTTGATGTTAAATACAGACAAAGCAATAATCATGCAACACTGCCATATATGTATATTTTCTATGAGTAAGTACGTTTATCTCGCGGTAACTGTGGTAAAATAAGTTGAATAACCTATCAATAGATAATCAGATGTCATGGTTATAAAGAACTAGCATGATTTATAAGCAGAGGTTACCAAATAGATACACACATATATTTATACAAGAAGGAACACGAGAACAAAAAATGTTATTTTTCTACTTGATAATGCATTAAATTAAAAATTATTTAAAACCAGAGTAATAATAACTACGTAAAAATGAAGTCATGGGAGTTTAAGCACTAACCTGCTCTACATATCCATTCGACATAACCATTTAATTCCCGTTCTAATTGTTGCTGACGTCGAAGCTTTAGAAAAGCTTGTCTGTTTTCAACTCTTTCCCTTTCTTTTGCAAATTCACTGTGAAACATTTTATAAAGTTTGAACTCCCAAATAGCATATCAAAACTGAGGTTTATTATTGGAAGAAACTAATGAAATGTAGTAGGCATGTTTGAAAGTATCTGAATTTAATTTGATAAACCTTAAAAAAAAACTGTAATAAATCTATTAACTAAGCTAATAAAATATGGGTTATTCTGTTCTAACACCATCAAATGGAACTAAAATAGAACCCCCAACATGAGGATTGTTTTTTTTTTCTTCTTCTTCTCTACATCCAGTAAGAACAAGTTTATTACTTCTAGAAACTTTTCAGATTTTACAACTGGTTTATAGTTACCAACTGAAAACAAGTTGTAATATTTACTACTATAGTAGTAAAAATTATTCTCTAAACATTACTCGTAAGTAAAATAATGTTGTATTATAGACATTCTTTACAATCTGGATTCAGAACGAGCTAAATTTAAGCTTCAAACGTTCATCAAATTAGCACATAATATCTCCACTTCGGTAATGTAATGTTCCACTTACCCACTAATACTCTCTCGCACAACAAATCCAAACATAATACTTTTCACAATTTCAATGTGACATTAATAGCCACTGAATAACAAACCAAAATATTCAAGTGTAAAACTTTCTTAAATCCAATGTATGTCATACGGACACAAAAATCTGAAATGTTATTTTTTACACACCTCTGATTTCTAGTCGCAAGTAACATATTATGAGGAATGTGGGGGAAAAAAACACTTGCAGATAACTTTATTTCCATAATACAGTATGTTCTGTATAACAGAGAACAAATCACTTACCCGCTTAGAACTCCAAGAACTAAATTGAGCATAAAAAACGATCCAAGAATGATGAGAGGTACAAAGTAGATCCAGTTGAATGTGCTACCTAACGCATCATTTGTCTAAAAAAATAAAGATGGAAGCAAATACAACAAAGATGTTTTGTGTGTCTGTTTCCTAAAGACGTCAGAATGATTGTATCATTAATTAACTTCTTAAAGACGTGTTTTTTATAATATTTCCAAGTTTTTCTTACCGTATGACAAAAGTCCGTGTTATTTTTTCAGCTCTACATTAATTTAATTATCACATTCAACGTCAATACTGACTTACTAAACGCCATAAGCAGAACAAAAACTTTCGTTAAGTTAGTATTTAATAATACGTAAATTGATTTAGAATAATTAGAAACAGGATTCATTATTCATCACGTATTTAATCAGGCAAGGGTTTCCTTGTAATGATACAAGAGGGAAATCATTATTAATAACATGCAATGAAAATGGTTCCTAAGCTACCTTAACAGAAATGTTAGCTTAACGACGCTGTTTTTCTTTCCTTTACATACTAATAAATATACATACAATAAAACTTTCTACAGTTAAAACACTCTCCTGCATTATCAAAATAACACCATGTGTATTATTTTTCACAATTTTATCATCCTCTCTCTGTAAAATAGTATTACGAACATTACAAGGAGGATAACGGAATGGTGAAAAGTAACGTGCCATTTTGATGTTGTAGGGAAGTGCGTTTTAATTCTAGAAGGTTTTAGTTGTTATGGATGTGTGTTTAACTGTATGTTAATAATCATGGTGATGAGTAATGGTAATAAATAACAATGGACTTTCGGCTTAACTCAGATGACTTGTATAAAATATAGAAAACAAAATGCAAATATTTTCCCTCATAAAAGTTTATTCTGAGCTACAACTATGCCGAAGGGAATATGTCAAAAAATATGTAGCGCAGTAGTTAAGCATGCAACACATACCAAACGTTTCGTTGTAACAGCCTTGTAAGGACAAGTTTTATCATTAAGAATACTTTCTTACCCAGTATAACATGGACGTCCAGCCTTCTTGCGTGATACACTGGAACACCGTAAGCATGGCGAAGAAAATGTTATCGAAGCTAGTGATACCAAAGTTGGGCCCCGTCCAGCTCTCCAAGCAGGTCGCTGCCCCTGGGTCACACGTGCGTGCTCCTTGTGGGGCGTTTGCTGGGTCCAAGGTGTTATAGCAGGGAACTTCCTGTTCACCCTCGGTAACTATTTCACCTTCGATTGGTATGGAAGGGGTGACATGAAAGGTTAGTAACAACAGCAGTATTACAAATTCACAAAACAAAGCACTTGACACATTCCATTTTCCTAAGTACCAATGGAAAAACAAAAGTAATATTTGTGAGTTAATTAGATGAACAAATACTACCGAAACTTTGTCCTGGTGTCCGACAATAGAGTTAAATCCACATCTGTAGGGTTAGGTTCTAACCTTATGGATTCGCCAGTTAAACACCCCCAATTACACTGGTAATTAGTTCTTCAAACTACAATAACACCTTTTCGCTGCTTTACTTGATCGTAATAGTTCGGCTTTTCAAGTTTCACATGTTAAATATATAAGGCACCACAAAAGTGGTTTTAAAGAAGACAATACGACAGAAACGGTAATTACATCAGTTTCATAAAAGTAACAGCTGCTTCTTCAAACACTTCACTAAAAATTAAAACACATTACAATGACTTCGTTTCGACTGAATGATTTTGAATTGAAACTTAAAACGCGTGTGAAATTCAAATTAAAATTATCTAGGTAAAGTGTTTTCCATAAATAAAACCAGAGTAGCAGACTATTATCTTAAGCCATACTTTCCAATTAAATAGAGTTTAATTTGTAAGGCCAGGCAGTATTTGTTTGGTTGTTTCAAGTTAAGCACAAAGCTACACAATGGGCTGTCTGTGTTCTGCCCATCACGGGTATCGAAACCCGTTTACTAGCATTGTAAGCCTGCAGATACAGCCGTGCCACTGGGGGCCAATCTGATAGTATGTAAGCCAATGTAATGAACTGAAATATCAGGCAAATATGAAAACATATTCTAGTTTAAGATTTAACGTTAAAAATATATACTATTATAAGCCTGTATCTCCTTACATAAATCAACACTTAAAGGACATTTTTTTGAAGTAGTTGATCATACTATTTGTGGTTTTATTATTACACAATTTACTATACTTGGAAATTCATATTCGCGAATTTATATTCGCTTAGAGTGCCTTTATTGTAAAATTGTGTTCGATTTTATACCTTTATATTATTATTATCATTATAAATAAACAACCAAGACGACTATCACCTAAAGTTTATGTTTAAAACATAATTAACAGTTATTATTTTCGTCAAATTGCTGTGGGATTTGCTAGAAATACCAGAAGGAGTTTAGTCTATTTAGCTTAATTCAATCAACATATTCCCCTAAAACATATAAAACGTAGATGTAAATATCTGAATCCTAATAGTTGTCTGACTTATAGTCAATAGTTATAATTGAAAAAAAAAAACAACAACAAAAAACAGTCTTCTACTGCGTTATCGTGGAAGTCCTTGTGTAACAATACTGAAGCCACTTTATATATAACTATGTATACGGAATGGTACGACGTGAGATAAGAAAAACTTAATTATACGAAATGGCAATTACGAAGAGTGTTTGTTAACAAAGTTTCAGGCAAGATGATTATTTGATGTGACAGTGTTGGGTTCTTTGAGTCAAACCAGGTATTTTTAATGTTGTTTACAAGTAAAATAAACAACAAAACTATGCAGATAAAAGGAGATGAGAGGGCAGTAACATCATTTATGAAATAAACATTCGTTCATAAATGTACTTTTTCTGTACTATGATCAACTTTCATAGAAAACAAGTAATAACTAAATGGTCTATGGTCCTTATAGTGTCACAATATATTATGGGCCAGATGAAACGCAGTGGAAATGGCAACACTAACAAAAAAACACCACCAAATGTGGGGTATTATAAGATGTATCTTGATGGCTGAAGTATACGAGGAAGTTATAACTTATATAATTAATCAAAGATGTAAACTGACAGTAAACTACCACTGGCAGAAATTTAAATATCTTTGATTTCTGTTGTTGTTGTAGGAGGAGTATGTGTAAGAATCGTTTTACTTTGGCTATGTCAAAAACACATGTAACTGTTACGAAAATCCACGTCAAACCTTCATATAAATAATGCACTGAGCAACAAAGAAATACAAGAATGAGTTTTCAAGCTCCTTCGTTGACAGGTTTGTTTGTAATTAAGTACAAAGCTACACAATGGGCTATCTGAGCTTTGCCCGCCACGGGTATCGAAACCCGGATTCTGGCGTTGTAAGTCCGCAGACATACCGCTGTGCCACTCCTCTTCGTTGAGAGACTTGATTACATTAATATTTGAGTGTGATAATTGCATATATTGCACAAACAATTTTTGCATTCGAAATAAACTGGTCACTGATATATATATAAATGTATACACACAACATTGCACGTTCATTTTTTTCTGACTTTGGAAAGTGTGTAGGTTGGTTTTCAAAGTAAACGTGTTTTGTTGTCCCTGGCTTATGTAGCCCCACTCTCTTTATTATGAACAATCAGTACATGCCTATCGATAGCTTTGTTCCTTCCTTATCGATCTACAAGTGTGCCTCATAAATGTAAACAAAATAAAAGATGGACCCATTAAAGCTCCAAACGCACGTTTTTGGCATGCGACAACGAGAGAAAAAGAAACCAACTACCCGCATCAAGTTTTCAAAATATTTTCATCATTATTTGCAGCTGAGGTTTACGTATATTTTTTGTTGTTGGCTCTGAGTTAATTTGACAACAACAACAAAAGTTTCAAGAAGCCAATACATATAGCTAGGAAACATCACATTTCTATCAACATTAAGGATGATCTGCCTGCACAAATACTTGGGCTAAACTAAAGAAACATCGTAATGGCAAATATTATTATTTTTATAATTATTTGTTTTTTTACAACGCTAAAATCAGAGGTTCGATTCCCCTCGGTGAACACAGCAGATAGCCCGATGTGGCTTTGCTATAAGAAAAACACACACACACATGATGCCGCTAAACACACTTTCTGGTGTAGGCGCGCAATAAAAGTGAAATAAGTCCAGTTGTGTAGTTCAAACAGCTGAAGAAAGCCCTTGTGGCGGCGGGTTCTGTTAGCTGGCTGCATTGTCTTTAGTGAGTAGTTCAAAATTATGGACGGCTATACCGTATGTTCTAGCGCGCAAAAAATGTCGTGTAAGTTGACAAGTCTATTTCACTCTATAAGAATTTCCGAAGACTTACCGCTGTTCCACCGGAAGACTTGGAAAAGAAGAACAAGTTTTGTTATGAATTTTGCGCAAAGCTACAAGAGGGCTATCTGCGCTAACCGCGCCTAATTTAGTCGTGTAAGACTAGAGGGAAGGCACCTAGTCATCACCACCCACCACCAACTCTTGGGCTACTCTTTTACCAACGAATAGTGGGATTGACCTTCACATTATAACGCCACCACGGC